GGAATCGAACCCCGACCTCCTGGTTCATAGGTCCATGCTCAACTACTGAGCCGCGCCGGCCGGGCCCCCTGCTTCTCTATAGGCTTTGCAGATGCCCTCTGATGCTTCTTTGGCTCCCCGTGCCTTGTCACCCTGTCCCTAAAGCACTAAATGTCACAGATGGATGAGACCTCCACAGAGGAAGGAACAGAGGGAGGTCAGACAGGAGTGAGCTGCTCAAAGATACAGCGGATGGCAGTGCAGGGCTGCCAAGCCTCCTGAGGTCCAGTCCTGGGGCTCCCCCACCCCCTCCATCATTGCTCCCATTCCAGTCTCGTCCTTTTCAGTGTTTCTGCTCTCTGTGTGAATCCCCATCTTCCTCCTAGACTTTCCGGGACTCCCTTGTAAAATTAACTCTCAGACCCTGATTCCCTCTACTGTTGATAGATGTGTAGAAAGGGGATGAGTCTGCTACAAACTTGCCTGGGTGCTGGTATCCGCCACGGCTGGCCTTTAACCCTAGGGGAAGATGGGCAGGTCAAGCACCCCTGTGGGCTCTCTCTCCGCTTTCGTCCACTGATGTCCCAATGTGACTTTGCTATGGACAGTGAGTGGTGCTGTGTCATCATCAGGGCACCCCCTTTCTTGTTCCTGTTCTAGTTTCAGTACCTATTTCGGAATGACTGTCTCACAAAAGGGGTCAAGCTCACAGAGGGGCACTGGCTTGCCCCGCGTGATGGACTTGGGACCGAGCTGGGGTGGAAGTGTGGTAACCAGTGAGCCAGGCTGAGGATGTGGAGAACCTCAGGGCTGTTCCTATCACCCAGAGCAATCCTGGACTCAGGCAAAGGGTGAGTGGAGAACTTGCTCCCCGGCCGCCTGAGGAAGTCCTAGACTCAGCTTCTTCCATTCTTCCTTCCTAGTAGAGGCAGTCTTGCCGTTTCCATGGCAACTGAGAAGCTCCTTGGGTCTCGCTGAAGCACTGCTTGGGGAGATGTGGGAGAACGATTGGTGGGGTGGGGAGATACAGAGGCTGAGATGTGTAAATCGTCCCATTTTATTCTCCGCTAACAGGCTCGAACAGGGATTTCCCCCAAAGCAGGTCCAGGATCATAAGGATCGTTTTTCACTTTGTGACCTCCAGGTCCCAAATGCCCATCCTGACCCTCACACACCTGCATAAATTGAGTAGAGATCTGCACCGGATGGCCTGTGGCTTAGCTTCCTGTTGTGGCTTTTGTCAACCCTTAGGCATCTCCTTCTCTCTGCCCATCTTTCTTCTCTATCCTTTTCTTCCTGTAGCTTCCTCCCCAAGCCTCTGGCGGAGGCCAAGTTTAGCACCTGAGTCAGGGAAAGGCGTGCTTCTCTCCTGCTGGGCACCAGAGGGAACAGTACATGTGAGGAGGAAACTGGTCTTGCAAGGCAGGTCAGGCCATAGAAACTGTGAACAATGCACTGCCCTGGGGGGCGGGGGGGGGGTCATTATTGCTGGCCCCAGGACAGATCATCAACACCTGGGGGCCTTCCTGTAAGACACCTGGGGGCCTTCCTGCAGGGCCATGAAGGGGGCAGGGGGCATATCTGCAAGACAAAGACCCCAGAGGGATATATATAGACAGGCTCTCTGCATGTTTCTTCACTCTGATTTGGTAATTATTCCCGGAGTCCATTAGTGTTAATAAATGGTGTCCCTCCCTTTCTCTAGGAAGCGTGCTTGGTATTTCTTTGCTCTTTGGTAACACATGTGGCCCAGAGTCAGACCAGTGTCTGACTTCCCAGCCATGTGACCTGGAGCTTCAGTTTCACCATCAGTAAAATGGAGATGATACTATTGCCTCTTTCTAAGGGCTATTGTGAAGGTTAATGAGTTCATACACGTGGGTCACTAGAGCAGAGCCTGTCATGTTGATGGTCCTATAGAAGTAAGTGACCTTAGATCTAAGTATGTCTGGGACAGTCTCATTCCAAGCATTACTACTGTCCCTGTATCAGGAGCAGTGCTCTCTTCCTATTTCAAAAGTATTTGGAGTTTGGGTGCTAACTATTATTGATATATATAACATTTATATATCATATTTACATATATATGGCACTATGCATACATGCGATATATATATACTATATAGTGTTAGCTATTTTACTACTGGGTGGTGACCCAGTCTTTTAAGGATGGACAGGGTTGGATGTCTCAGCCTAGAAAATGAGACAGGCAGAGTTTGGCTCCAGAGCTTCTACATTCAACCAATTCAGGTCCCACTACCCTTATCTCAGGAGACAAAGAACGCTCTGTAACACTGAAGTTTTGCTCTTCCCCACCCCACCTGCCAAGAATCAATAGGGGTGCATCCCACGGCGGCCCCACCAGTAACCCACATTCAGAAAGCAAGTTTGGGAGTTGCTCACTGCTTCGCCTCAGGCCCGATCACTGGGGTCAGGGTGCCAGGAGCACCATGGCAGCAATGCCACACGTTCCTGGATAAAAGAAAAAATATCCAGCAACGACCAAACTTCTCTCCTCCCTGGTGGGAGGGCTGGGCCAATCTTGGCAGGTTTCCAAAGGGACCATAGAGTCTTCATGTTGTCAGAGCTGTGGGCTGAGAGTTCCACTGGAGCAAGGCCTTGGCTCCCTTTCTCACCAAGTCCTTTAGGTCCTTATTACCTCAGATCATTGTCTATCTATATCTATCTATCTATCTATCTATCTATCTATCTATCTATCTATCTATCTATCTATCTAACTATCTCCCTATTTCCCTGTCTTCCTATCTCCCTATCTTTACCATCATCATTAGAAAGACTGCTTGTCACTCTAATAGCTTGGACCCTGGAGTTAAACCTCAGGTCCGCTACTCACTAGCCATGTAACTTTGGGCGAGTTCCTTAACTTTTCTGTGCCTGGATTTCCTCGTCGGCAAAATGAGGATGATACTGTATCTACCCCATAAGGTTGCTGTGAGGATTGAAACCTAAGCATCTCACGCGCCCAGCACATGCTTGGCACACAGTGAGTGCCGGAATAATCATTGCGGTCATTGGTGCATTATTTTCTTGTGATTTTCCTTGTTAGGGAGGATTCTGATATTCTCATCTCATCCCTTTGGTTATCTTAGTATGATTTTAAATGAAGAGAAACCTGTTCCCATGTTGTTAGGGAGAATACCCCGACCTGTTCAGGCCCAACCAACGCTGCCTTCACCACTTTATTACACAGATGGGGCGGGCCAGGAAAACAGAACTCAGTACAGAAAGGAGTGGGACAGCCTCTATTCCTGTTTGCATTTTAGAGAATGGAAGTGGCAAGAATGGCACAGATTTTGGAATTATCCCTTTGGTTATCTTAGTATGATTTTAAATGAAAAGAAACCTGTTCCCATGTTGTTAGGGAGAATACCCTGACCTGTTCAGGCCCAACCAACGTTTGCATTCACCACTTTATTACACAGACGGGGCGGGCCAGGAAAACAACTCGGTACAGAAAGGAGTGGGACAGCCTCTGTTCCTGTTTGCATCTTGGAGAATGGAAGTGGCAAGAATGGCACAGATTTTGGAATTAGACAGACCATGGTTTGAATTCTGGATCGTCTGTGTTACCCACATGACCTTGGGGAAACTATCTCACCTCTGTGAGCCTCACTTTATTCATCTGTAAAATAGAGAGAACTGATGGTTGGTGTGAGGGTTAGTGGGTACAGAAGCTCCCAGCAGAACTTCTGGCATGCAGCAGGTGTTCCATAAATGCTGATTTCCCGTCCCCCCTCTTACTAGACTGTAAGCTCCTTGGGGGGTTTGGAATTAGACTGTGGTTTGACTTCTGGATCGTCTATGTTACCCACATGACCTCAGGGAAACTATCTCACCTTTGTGAGCCTCACTTTACTCATCTGTAAAATAGAACTGCATGGTTGGTGTGAGGGTTAGTGGGTACAGAAGCTCCCAAGACCATGGTTTGAATTCTGGATCGTCTGTGTTACCCACATGACCTTGGGGAAACTATCTCACCTCTGTGAGCCTCACTTTATTCATCTGTAAAATAGAGAGAACTGATGGTTGGTGTGAGGGTTAGTGGGTACAGAAGCTCCCAGCAGAACTTCTGGCATGCAGCAGGTGTTCCATAAATGCTGATTTCCCGTCCCCCCTCTTACTAGACTGTAAGCTCCTTGGGGGGACTGGAGGCTGTGTTTATTCACTGTCATATGTCCCAGCTCGCAGCACGGGGCCTGGAACTGAGCAAACAGCCGTAAACACTCAGGTAAGTGAATGCAGAACGAATCGACTTTTCATGCGTTACATGCCTCTTTATACATAAATATATTAACTTCCTGCTTACTGCATCATGGCTAATCACTGCCAGAGATGAAGGCTTTGGGGACTTAATGATTTTTGAAAACTATATTCAAGGTTAAATTATGAGTCAAGCCAAGACTCTAAACTGCTGGAAGCAATTTCCTCATGTTTCAACAGTTGCTAGGCTTCATCTGCTTTATTTGTTGAAGCCTGCTAACCCCTCCCCCGCCTTCTCCCTGGGCACATGGAGGCAGCACCTCGCTGGGTTTCCCTGCAGAGGAAACAAAGGCGGAGAACGCAGGTGAAGGCTAAGTGCTTCCGGCCCTGTGGCTTCAAAGGGAATTAACCAGAGGGGAGAAGTGTTTGTCCTCGGCACCCGTCCCTTCATCTCCTGGCTTCTACAGTTACTCACCTGTGTGTGAGGGATGGGGAGCTAAGGCCGATTTGGAAATCGGCCCTTCTTCCAGGCCGATCCACAGCCTCGCCAGCTCAGGAGCCTCCGCCCGGAGGGGAGAAGTGTTTGTCCTTGGCACCCATCCCTTCATCTCCTGGCTTCTACAGTTACTCACCGTGTGTGAGGGATGGGAAGCGGAGGCCAATTTGGAAATCGGCCCTTCTTCCAGGCCGATCCACAGCCTCGCCAGCTCAGGAGCCTCCGCCCCCCTGGCACTCTATGAACAGCTGTCTCCTGGTGGGGCAGCAGGGGCCGGTGACAGTGGAGGTGACTGAATTAGTCTTGGGCTGCTCCGGCATATGCCTTCGTGACCATCTTCTTAGTTTTTCTGGGGCACCTAGGATGTCTTTGTCTCTCTTCAGGTGTTTCTATTGAGGAGGGATTTGGTTAAGTGAATAGAGCAATGGTTGGGAGGTATTTTGACATTTTTCTGGGGCCAGGGCTTTGTTTGTTTTGCTTTGTTTTATATTTTTTAAAACGAAGACTGTGCACCTGGTCATATCCAGCTGCAGTCGTGTAGGAGAAAACTGTGCAGCCCTTCTCTGTGAAGGAGAACCTCGGGGCACGCATGGAACAGACCTTCTCTTTTGAGTGGAACCTGGGTGCTGTGGGGAGGTGGTGACAGGACGTTGTGTGTGTGCTGTTGGAGGACGGACTTGGCAGCAGCTGCCTCTCTCTTTGTCATCGCAGGGGCCTGGGACCGTGTGGGCTGGTCTGCCAAGGGATCCTGTAGGCCCACGTGGCTGAGATGGTAACCCTGGTCCTAGAGGCCTGTGATGAGGGAAATCAGCAGAATGGAGAGTGGTGCCCCTCGTCAAGCTCACGGACTGGAGAGAAGGGGCCATGCAGACTGGTCAGGGAGACCTGAGCAGGTGAGTATGTGAATGAGTCTGGAAACTTCTTAGCTCCTGACTGCCCTATGCGTGCTTGTGAACTAATAGAACTAAACTCTTGACTTAAGCACAATTCCCCTATTGAAGCCCATACAATGATCTAGGCCAGCACCTGCGGGCATCACTTCAGCTGTGGTGGGAGACCATTCTTCAGCATCGATCCCTTGTGGTGATGAGGAGAAATTGCACTTGTAGTCAGGAATTTGCACTGATACTCAACAGGCAGGTAAGGCCTGGATTTCTTGGGTAAGTGGTGGGAATGAGTCTAGGGGAAAAAATAACAAGAGAGAAGGAGGGAGATCTGGACTTCATGTTGATTAGGAGAAATTGCTTGAGTAATTCATTTCACAACAGTAAAAACACGAGACTGTAAAAATGTACCCCAAATTGGTGAAATAGTTCCGCCCAGTTAAAACCTTATATAGTGCACAGCACTTTGCACTTAGTTGGATTTCAATACATGTTTGTTGAATAAAGAAAATAGATGGATGGATGGAATTAACACTCATGGAAACTCACACTCAGTGGCAAATACAGGGTTTCCCCCCAAAATGTACACACACTTCAACAGCTGATAACTCAATTTTGAAAATTAAATGTACTTTAATAAACACTGCCTTTCTAATTATTCCAAGTGTGTGTGTGTACATTTTTGGGGACACCCTATATCCTCCTCCTCATTTCACAGATGAGCCATTCAAGGGCCCAGTTACAATGGCAAATGTTGCAAACAGTCTCTGGACCCAGCGCTGACTCTCAAGGCCATGCTGGTCCTTGGCCAGGTGGAGGCTGCAGGAATGTCTGCTATAGCCCCAGGCATGGAACCGTCAAGAGGATTATCTGGACGTGAGTATAGTTCATGCAGGGCTGGGAATAGAAAAAGCGACTTCATTGAAATAAAGTCAAGAAAGACCTTTACCAAGTGAGAAAAATCTGGTTTTCTCCTAAGAATTATGATCTAGTGTGAGAATTATGGTGCTGAAAAACCCCAGCGAAATAATCACCTACAGTTCCTTTGGGGGGGATGGGAATAGAGGAGAGAAAGTACGTCATAAAATACATGGAACAAGAGCCAGAAAAACAAATAAACAAAAAAAGGGCATGGTGGGAAAAGCAGAGAGGAAAAGAAGAACCTTTTGCAAAAACAGATACTTTTAGATTATTAAGCTGCAAGAGACAATTAAGTGCACATGGGTGAATTTGCAAGGAGTCCTGCCCAAATCACACGAGGTTAATTATGTTGACCCCCATTTCCTGCTGTCACACTTGACTGAGAGCATCCCGGACTGGAGAGGGCACCACTGCGCTCATCACATGTTTACAGACACTAATGACCTCTCTGGAGTGTCGCTCAAGTTCCTGGAGTACAGCTGGAACTCGAAGCAAACTGGCATTGCAGCAATGGCTTTGGCATCATTGCTCGTGGTTTCTGGTCTGTTTTGGCAAGAAACACAAGGCGCTGTTCAGGCTTCTTTTTCCCTTTTTCTTTCTAAGGGCCCGTGGTCCATCTTCAACAGCAGAGCATGGGTGACTGTGGGAAGCTCTTTTTGTGGAAGCAGGTGTTAGACCAGCCCGAGGAGGGTGGTGGGTATAGTACCCAAGAGCCAGGCACCTGGGAGTAAACTGGTGAATATTTGAATAAGTGGGTGAATATGTGCTGAAGCTTTGTTTCTTTGAGGGTACCTTTTTTTTTTCTTTCTCTAAATACATAGTTTTGAGCTTTTCTGATGTATGAAGCTCTCTGCTAGCCCTTGAAGCTATCGTGCTCAATGGGGGCATGTTCTGTATCCTCACAAGGTTTCCAGTTAGTGGGGCAATTCTCCCATTTGACAGAGAGAAAATGACATAATGAGGCCTTCAGACACCAGAGGCCTGACTTGTTACTTTTTAAAGAAATTCTTCCACCTCTGGTCGGATATCTGTTTACACAGAAGACCACAAGACCTGGGGCACTTTTGAAAAATCAGAACAATTGTTTGTTTGAAGCTCATTCGTTAATTTCAAGAAATATTGATCAAGCCCCTGTCATGTGCCGCGAGCTTGTTTTTGGTGCTAGGGAACTGGCATGAATAGGCAGCCCCAAATCCTTGCCTTCTAGGAGCTCATATCCTAGCTGGGGAGGCAGACAATACAAGAGAGAAATCAGTAATATAAGAAATATCGAGGACGTTCCATTGTAACAGGTGCAGGGCATGGAAAGACTTTTAGATTTTGCTCTGAGATGGGTTAAGTCAGTAATTCTTCTTCATATTTCTCTCATTTCCTGTTAAGATAAACAGACCCCTCAAGCCTTCTCCATTTTCCCAAGCACATTTCACATGCCTTAAGGAGCAATTCTGACATGTGCACACCCACCGACCATTTCCTAATGTTCAAAATGCCATCAAAGCCATGAACGAATGAATTAACTTCCATGCCCCTCCAGGGCCTCACCTGTCGGATGAACATCACAATATCCGTACGGCGGTTGCACATCAGGATAAAGTGGATGTGGAAACAGCCTAAGCCCAGGGAATGCTTGATCACTGTTTCTTCTGAAATCAAAATAAGGTTGTTTTCTGAGCATCTTTTGGGGCTTCAGTAAACGTAGGTTTAAATACAGATCCGTGGGCTGTGGTGTTTCTGAAAGGAGGGGGAGCTCAGAATGAGCCCTTTCAGGGGAGGGAGGACCTTCAAGCAATTCACCACAGGGCGTAATGGCCCTGTCAGAGTGCCCCTCCATCTCAGGGCCAGACCCTGAAACCAGCTGTGAGTTCTCTCCTTGCCCATGGGACCCGGGTGGACCCTGGCATATGATTTTGATGGTGCCCTGCTTAGCTGCTCTCATGTTTACACCTGGATTTGTGACTGCACACATCCCATTTGCAAGGGGACAGGGTGAGTAGCATGGAGACCAAAGAAAGGGCACAAGTCCACAGGTGTGGTTCCATGTCCACTGGGTCCCCTTTGACAATCCTATATAATAAAGAGGTAATATGCAAATTAACCCTCACGCCCTCACAAGATGGCTGCCTACAACCAGGCTGGCAAGGGGGTTAGTGAGGGATGACCAAACAACTGAACGAGCAGGCTGCGTGGGGTGAGCAGGCTGGCAGGGGGGTTAGTGAGGGACGACCAAATGACTGGACAGCAGGCTGTGTGGGGCAACCAGTCCTGCGGGAGGGCGGTGAGGGGTGACCAAGCTGGCTGGGGGGCTGTGAGAGGCGACCAGGCCAGCAGAGCAGGGCAGTTGGGGGTGACCAGACTGGCGGGGGGGGCAGTTAGGGGTGACCAGGCCAGCAGAGGG